ATGATGATGATGATACGATGATTGTTGGGGATCAGACTATTACTACCACACCTCCGTTAACATCATCACAATCTGAGGACCAGACTATTACTACCACACCTCCGTTAACATCATCACAATCTGAGGACCAGACTATTACTACCACACCTTCGTCAACATCATCACAATCTGAGGACCAGACTATTACTACCACACCTTCGTCAACATCGTCACAATCTGAGGACCAGACTATTACTACCACACCTTCGTCAACATCATCACAATCTGAGGACCAGACTATTACTACCACACCTTCGTCAACATCATCACAATCTGAGGACCAGACTATTACTACCACACCTCCGTCAACATCATCACAATCTGAGGACCAGACTATTACTACCACACCTTCGTCAACATCATCACAATCTGAGGATCAGACTATTACTACCAGTACCATACACCCATCCCCTGATGTAATACCAACATTGGTTATCATTATCAACGCTGTTCCTGTTGTTGTTATTTTCAGAACTCCGACCCCACTGATGATGACTATGAACTACGATGTTTAGCTAAGGCTAATGGTGGTAAGGATGGAGAGGCACACATGGTCTTCAAGGGTAACCAGGGTTGGTTAACATCACTTGTATGTAGACAACATGCCAACAACAACAACAACAGCAATAACTCATATACTGATATATTACAGTAATAATACTTATCATCATCATCATCCTTATTCGATCATTCACTGATTCTTCTTACTTTAGGTCATCAACTTTGTTATCATCACACTTGAAAGATCATAGATTTACGCTACTACTACTTGGTGATGATGATGATGACTATAGTGAATCGAGTAGTAGTAGTAAGTTGGATTGTGGACTAGGGTCTGAGGCCCTGTTCAATAATATAAAACTCTATTTATCTTTGCCACAAACAGATAAATGGCTTATTAAATCATTATGTAACTACTATCATTATAATATCAGTAAATAAATCATGTGTGGTGTGTATGTATTAATGATGATAATTGTTGAGAAGATGTTGTTATACCAATATTGGTCATGTTGAGTTAATATTAGTGATGATGAATAGGTTTATTATAGGTCTCTAACATCATCATCATCATCAATGCCGAATCCTAATGTACAACGATCATCATCATTCAATCCAAAATCATTACCACCATGTAGGTAGTAGTAATAGTAGTAAACTATACAATGGAATAATTGTAATGATTGTATGGTTTAGTTACGTATTAGGATATGGTAGTGCTGTATTTAAACAAGGAGATGATGTTGACCAACATGAAGACCACTACCAGTATAGAACTAATAGGATGACCGATTTATTGGTAATGGTTGTTTATTGATATAGTAATGATGGATAATATCTAATGATGATAGTAGGTAGTATGCAAGGATGTAGGAAAGTTTCATGAACTTAATCTCATTAAGAATCCATCACATTATCCTTATCCTATTAATAAGGTTAAAGGTAAATATCTACAGTCATTGACAAGATCTGCAGCAGGAATCTATTATAATATTGGATGTATTATTATTAATAATAATATCATTATTATCAATAGAGTCCCAATATAGGTACATTACATCCTGGGGGATTGTACTGCAAATATGGTATAATATCACATGATGATCTATGTGATGATTTGAATAATTGGAAATCATTGTAATAGTGGTATGTAGATCCATATCCTATATTCCATATTATTAGATATGTGGGTGGTAGATTACATAAACCAGTAGAAGATGTATATATATCCGATAAGAAAGCATGTAGGTGTGCACTCTTATGTGCACAATGATGATAGTTATTATATAGTTCATCAATTCACCACAGCACTACACAATAACAGGCGTTCGGCTTTACGATGTGCATTGGTATTATTAAAAGGGAATGAGGAAGAAGAGTTAAGAAGTACATTGGGAACATTACTCACATCGATATGTAAGTCGTACAATAATAATAATGATCATCATCATCATAGTGTTACATTTCATTGTTATTCATAGGTAGTTTATCATACATGGGTGATATCAGAAGTGGTATGATAAGGGCAGAGGATCCCAATAAGGTATATAATATAGTACACGGACAAGCCAATGAGCTGATACATATATATGTAATAATAGGATACATACTAATCATCACCATACATCATAATCATTGTTATTAGTCACCAATACTCCTTGAATGTGGTGTTAAGATGGTAAAGACCACAAGTAGTATATCATTGAATACACCATTGATATACAGAGGCTCATGTCGTGAGCTTATATCCCTCTTACCATCCTCTATTACCAAAGGTAACAACATACTATACTACTACCACTACCTCCTCCTTATTATTATTCTAGGTGTCATTATCAATGGCGATACAATAGACACTCATAGGCTGTGTAGGAATATAAGAACATTGAATAGATGCTCATCAGTGAAACAAGGATGTAGTATAACATGTTGATGATTAGGGATGGTATGATATATATTATTAGTGAAAGGGATAGCGACTACAGGATTATCCGAGAGTATTGATTATGCATCGAGGAAGTTTACCAAGGGGGGATGGTAGTAGTAGTAATAGTATTATCATACTCATCATATTGCGTTAATAAGTATTCATTAATGCATATCATTAGTATTGGATGTGTCATTATTATCATTATAATGGTTGGCAAGGATGAACAACAGGACTATTTACAGAAGTATCGTAAGCATCAACAACAACAATTGCCGTCATCATCATCATCAATGATGATGAAATATAAGAGAACGGTGGGTGGAACTAAAGTAAAGAAGAAGAAGACTACTCACCATCATCATCATTCATCATCATTCATGATAGTAGATGAGACCGAGGATGTAATGATATTAATTTAATCTTACTCTGTCATACAGTCCTTAAGATACCTAATAATAAGAATAAGGATGCTGCCACGTTTCATGATAATGATCCCTATTATAATGGCCAATCTGGATTATCTGATGATAATGAGGAGGAGGAGGAAGAAGGAGCACCTATAGTAGTGGATCAATGGGGTGATTATCATAATTACTTTACTCTTATTTTATTCTTATGATATGTAGGTAACTCATTGAGACCTCTAAGGGCTGATGATCTGAAACATATTGAGGAGAAGCCTCAAGAGGCATCAGCAGCAGTAGTACTTGATGAAGCTGTTGAGAGTAATACATAATAATAATCAGCTACTAATCATCATCATACCACTCACTAACATGTTATAGTTCCTGTACCGAGAGATGTAGTAGGAGTAGAGGGAAGAAGACCAAGACGTGGTCGTAATAGTAGTAGTACTATTATTGGGGATTATCATTACAATGTTGTTGGTGTATTAGATGATAAGAAGAAGAACAAGCAGCATGTCAAGCTTGAGCATACCAAGACTACTGCTCATGATAATGTACCACGAATAAAAGAGGAATGCAATATCAATGATGATGATGATAAGGAGGAGGAGGAGGAGGAACGGTATGATTCGGATGAAGATTCAGATCAATCAGTAGTTAGAGGGGATGAAAAAGTAGACGAACCTCGCATTAAGAAAGAGGTTGATAATAATGAAGATGGAGATCAGGTAATGGTCTTCGTCTTCTTGAGAATAGTACATCCATGAATATTATCCTTAGTCTTCTTCTTCTTCCCTCAGTCCCCAATCCGTAAAGGGGTAGTGAGGATGAGTAGTGGCTTTACTGCTGGTCTAGTAACGGGTGAAGATATATCAAAACAGATGGAGGAGCCTCAGAGAGACGTAAGAGCAAATTACAACAATTACCTGATGAAAGTAATAATACTACTGCTGATACTATTGCTATATGAGGAT